AAATATAATTATATATAATTTATATAATTATTAATATAATTATATATAATTTCATTAAAATTTAAACGAAATTTCATTGTAGATAAAAAATTAAAGAAGTATTTTGAAGTTTCAATTTTAAGATAATATTAGTAGTTGAAAAAATATTTTTATTTTCATTTTCTTTGCTTTCTTTAAAAAAGAAAATATTATTTATTTTTAAATTTATTCTTAAAATTATGTAGTTTTGATAATCTGCCGATGAAAAAAATTAACTCGAAAAATTTAAATTAAATTCCATAAACAACAAAATGAATTTTTAAAATTCTCCTACGATTTCTTTGGTCAGGTTTTAAATGAAATGATGTTTTAAAACTAAACGGTTTTCTTTTACACACATATTCATTCTATTTTGTTAATTTTTATAATGATCTTAGTATTTCGTATTGTCATCTTTCGTTGATAAAAACTCTGTCATCAAAACTATATCATTCAAATATGTCGCTTGCAAAACTGTGATGTCGATTAATTCTTTATATTTTTAAAGTTCGTTTAATAAAAGAGAGACGCGTCTCAGTTAAGTTTCCGAAAATTCAAATTGTTGAAAAAAAGTAAGTTCAGCGAGAAAAGAGATATGGGAGGATAAATTAATAATAAACGTCAGAAAAATTGGAGGCCGTTGCATTTATTATTTATAAAGTATTTAACGATGTTACAGGAGGGCTATACTAATTCGATTCTTCGAATTACGGTTTGACACGCGTAAAAAAGACACGGCGAACATTGGTGTTTGAAATATTTATGCACATGTCCGTACTTTACAGTTCGATAAAGTTCGTGAGTTTCAGAACTTTTGCCATGGACATGCGTAATTGTTGTATCGTAAAAAGTGAGGGAGAAATGCTAAATTCATAAAAAAGTATTAGTCTGCATTTAGCTTCCGACATGGACGATTCTAAGACACTGGCATACACAGGTCTTTATATTTTTATTCATTTTCACATATTTTTCATATATTATTCTTCTTTTTTATATTCATATATTATTCTTCTTTCTTATATTTTTCATATATTTTTCATATATTGTTATTATTAAACTCTGTGTAAACTCTCTGTCGTATAATAGACAAAGGTATATTTTAGGTAAAGTTGAGATTTAAATTAACATGGGGCTTCATCTAATATTTTTATATAGCATTATTATAAAAAGTTGATGACATATATATATATATATATATATATATATATATATATTATAATTTATATAATCTGACATATTATTTTTCTGACATTAATAAACGAATAAAAAATTTTTTTTAAAATTAAGTGGTCAAAAGATTTGCAGGCGATAATTACTTTAATATATCTCATTTTTTTATATGTGAAATTCTACACATTTTCCCGTCTTAAATTATCATCAATTATTCGGGCAATTAATCGGGCAATTATTCCGGGAAGGAAGAAATTGTTGCAAATAACGCGCGATTTAAGAAATAAAATGGAATTTACATAGACTTAGATTGGGCGATCGGAATAAATCGAATTTCTCTGAAGATCCTTGGTCTCTGGCCGGACGATAAGTTAAGTCATTGGCAAAAATTTTTCGCAAATCTACGCGCCTTCATTATCTTTATCACGATGTTTATCACATCGGTTATACCCGGGATGTTAGCATTGTTGAGGGTCTGGGGTGACATTGTGGCGATGGCAGACAATCTGCAGATCGCTCTACCATTATCGGTGACTGTCTTGAAATTTATTATTATGCGGTTCCGCAAAGAAGGTAAGTCGACATGAATATGATAGTTTATTTTATTCGATAGATTTACTTTATCTATTTTTCCTTAAGAGTATTGCAACTTCATCCGTAAATTTTGAAATTTCCTCTCCGAAGATCTTGTACCGATCATAAACATGATCGTGAACGATTGGATCAAAACGAAGACAGTGCAAGAACGAGATACCATGATAAAGCAAGCGAAAATCGCGAAAGCGATCGTTATGTTCGGATGTGTCATGATGAGTTTCGCATCTGTCGCTCTCATCATTCCACCTTGCTTTGGATACTCGATACGATATCTGACGAATCTCACGGATGGTGCGAAGCCGTTGCTGTTGCAAACCTATTACCTTCGTGACATGACAGAGAGCCCATATTACGAAATCGCGTTCGTCGCTCAAGCCACGTCGATCATAATGGCCGCGATTTCTTACACGGGCATCGATAATTTTTTGGGTCTGCTTGTATTTCATATCTGCGCTCAGCTGGATATTCTCAAAGTACGATTGCTTAATTTGAACGATTTCAAAAGCTTCAGCATCGGATTATCCTTCAATATTGAGGATCATCTACGTCTCATTAGGTTGTTCTTTAAATTCTCTGCGTTTAAAAGCTCTGTAATTTATACACTTATATATAAAGATTTAAATATTATATTGAGGTTCTTATATAATATTTATATAATTTTTTAAAAACTCGAACGTGTTCATTAAAAATATTCTAATAATATTTTTATTATCACATTATTTATATAATTAGCCGTAATAAATGTATAAACCTATAACAAATAGATTATATATTGTGCATTTTTATATTAAATGATACGGATTCAGACGACATCGTTATTTGTCAAAAACTCAATATAAATATATACACTTCATATCGCAGTTTCACATAATACATATGATAAATTTAATATGTATCGAAAATTTTAACGTCAAAAAATAGATCCTCATTTATACAGTACTTTTGTATTATGTCAGATAAATGCATCCGTTTTTAGACACATATTACACATTATACATCTTATTGTTAGAAATATGCCTTTAAGACATTGCTTTTATTTAAAATTGTTTATTTAAAATTACTCCATGTTACATTATGCGATATCTTATATCGTAGATCCGTTGATGTCATCGACCACACGTTCAACTTGATGCTTCTGGCATTATTAATGTATTTCGCTATTTTATTTTGCGTTCAAGGATTTCTATTAGTTACCGTAAGTTGCCGAAAAAGAGAAGAGCTATCCTTTCGAACATTGTATAATCCCAGATAGTATAAAATCTCCATCGCTACAATTTTTTGTTGCAACGGAAACGAAAACGCGACATGAAAAGACCATCTTAGTCGTGACACTCCTCTCAATTCTCCGTGTAAATAATATATATACATTTCTGGAAAAATTAGATTATTAAAATAAATTTGATAAACATCGAGAAATTGCGCAGAAAATCACACATATTAATGCATGTCTATAGATCATTGACGGAGTTAACGAAGATATTTCCTTTATGCGAATAAGTTGGCTCATTTCGATTCTCATTAATACATTCGTTCACATGTGCCTGTACTGTGTGGTCGGAGAGATTCTTATAGCCAAAGTAAGTATGTAAACGTAAGTATGTAAGTCTAATACACATAATTAATACCTTGATATATATCTTATATAACATTACACAGATCTACATAATAATTATCTGCATAATAATTAACACAGATCTAAATAATAATATTTTCCGATTGTTGCAAATCAGAAAAATTTTAATACAAAAGATTTTTATTTTTTGAAAAATTAATTCTCTCTTTTATAATATTTAATACTTTTTTAGTTTGATTTTTTTAATATTTTCAATTTATTCATTTTTTAAAGATTTTTATTTTTCATTTTGTAAAGATTTTTATTTTTATTTTTTGAAAGATATGACAGTGCGTCTCCTGTGACAGATTTATAATACTTATTTAGGGCGAAGGAGTGTATTATGCAGCGTACAACTATACGTGGTACTCACTGAAACCAAATGAAGCTAGAAACCTGTTGCTGATAATGATTCGTTCTGAAAAACCTCTTCTCATTACTGCGGGCAGAATATTTCCTATGACATTGTCTATGTTTTGCAGTGTAAGACATCCGTAATTCGTTCATATAAAATGTTCATATAAAGACGGCTTTTACACAATAGAAATCTCTTTTTATTTTTTTTTCTTTTGATTTATAATTATTCATCATTGCTGTCACTGTATACATGTATATGTTCATTCGTCACGTTTTCAGTTAATCAAGACATCAGCTGGTTACATTTCCGTTCTGCTTGCTAATCGATAATAATTCTTTGCCTGATTCGATTGATCAAAAATTTAGACCATGAGCAATTAAAAAAAAAGAGATTATATAACAAAAATAATCATTCTCGTCTCTATTTTCATTTGACGTTTATGTTATGTGATGGTTTAACATAAAGCAAACATTTTATTAAACGAAAAATTATACATTTATGTATGTATGTCAATTAACAATAAAATAATCATAATTATGAAAATGTTTTTGATAATATATGATGCGCTCAAAAATGCTCTGCGTTAGCAAGATAGATGATATTATACTTGTAATAATTTTAAAATTAATACTAAGATTATAATTTATAATCTTATATTTTATAATTTTATAATTTATACTATTTACTACAATTATACTATTATACTATTCATTATAATTTATACTATTTAAGAAGGAGAATACACTACTACTAGTATAATTTATATATGTATTATATAATTTAATTATTATTTGTAAATATATATATAAGTTTTCATTATTATTTTTAAATATAAAAATATATATACTACACACATCAAATATTTTTCGATTCCTTACATTTTGTATCTGTATATCTTGTTATCTGTGTTTTGTATATAATAATAATTTCGCAGTGTAATATACAATTTCATCAGTTGTGCAGTTTGCGCGGTAGTTTTGTGTGCATATAATGCATTTGTGCATAAAGTGCAGCCTTATATAAGTGGATTGTCAATATCGAGTATTGAAAAATTATTCATATATATATGTATATGTATTATTCATACATTCATTCATAAAGTGAATGTACTCATTCATAAAAATGAATGCACTCATTCATAAAAGTGAATGCACTCATTCATTAATTCATTTATTACCGATTGAGAAAGAAGGGAGAGACCTCTGTCGAAAAACTGAAGAGTTATGTCCTCTTTCTCATCGCTTACATGATCTTGCGTCGTTCTCGTTTTGAGAGAGTGTTCCGGACAAGAGATTCAGGAAGCAACAGTGAATTGAAAAATACAAGATAAAGAATATCTCTTTCTCCGAGGAATCAATTTATTAAAATGGCAAAGCACATATCAGATCCTGCAGCTGGATTCAGGCTCGAGTACGTTAAAACTGATTAATTAATAATAAACTTGCATGGTCCTTACATGCTAATTTTTATATTTATATGGATTATATCGTTCTTTTCAGAGATTTGATAGGCGAAGAGGGGGTTACCTTTGAAATTGGAGAGGATTATGTTGGAGAAGACAATGACGACGAAGAATTTTCATTTTCTCCATTCGTACATTTCAGCAATGAGGAGATGTTAAACATGTTAAACATGAATGGTTTCGAAGATGAAAATGATGGAGATGATGAGAAAGGATCCGTATCCCTTTACGGTATGAGCTTCGAAAAGTTAAAAGCAAAGATGACAAGTTTGACCATAGATCAAAAAGTAAATCAGATTTTATATTATTTATAAATTATGTTTTCTTTAGAAAAGAGAATAATAAGAGGAGATATATAATATTTTTGATATATTGAAAATACGTCAATAAAATTAAATAAAACTAGATAAAACTTGCAAAAATATTTTTTAAAAAATCAAAGTGAAACGTAACCTTTTTGCATGTTTTAAAATGTAAACAATTTTACTTATGTTATGAAATTATGTTACGTTAGGTCATGAAATATGTGAAGCAAAAAGGTGTTGGAGAAGTTGTTCCTGCTAATGGTCAAATTACCTTTCATTACATTGGATATTTTGAAGACAGAGATGAACCTTTCGATTCAACTTATTCTTCTGGAAAACCAAGGACACTGCGTTTAGGCCAAGGATACATTATACCTGGTTTAGAGATCGGCATCAGTACTATGCAGAAGCATGAAATAGCAATATTTTTGATACATCCCGATCTTGCTTATAAAGCTTTTGGATGTCCACCACGTATTCCACCCAATGAGGAAGTGGTATTTGTAGTTCACTTAATTGATTACCTTGATGATGGTTCTGCAGATACTTATCAAAATCTTCAAACAGAAGAAAAGCAGTCTTTTAGACATATAAAAGAGCCAATGTTACATATGTTTGTGGCTGCTAAGGATACTTGTAGAAAGCTTAATTTCAAACGGGCAATACGAGAGTAAATAACATTATATTAAAGACTTTTGTGTAAATGTAATATGATCATATGTGTATAATATATTTTTTTTGTAGATATAAAAGAATTATTGACTGCTTAGAAAATGTACAATTGAAAGATAATTCAGAAGAAGAAGAAATGAATGAATTACTTTCAAGAGCTTATAGCAATCTTGGAATATGCTATAACAAAATAGATTTACCTCGTCTTGCCTGTATGGCTTGTGGACGAGTACCAATACCAACAGCTAAAAGCCATTACAAGTATGGGAATATGTTAATTGATGTAATATTTATGAATTAATCGTATATTAAATTAATATCATGATTGAAATCATTTTTTCTTCTAGTTTTGGAAAAGCTTTATTGAATCTTGGAGAATATGATGAAGCAATGAAGAAATTGCGAAAAGCTTATACATTGGAACCAAGTAATGAAGAAATTGGAAAAGTAATTCAGCAAGTGAGTTGAAGATTTTTCAAAATATGTTTCTTCTAATATGTGTTAAAATAAAATATATTAATATCTTTTTTATAAACAGACAAATGTGAAACAGCGTCAATATTTGGAAATTGAGAAAAAATTATGGAAAAATTGTTTCAAGCCTGGAGAAAAACAAAAAATTAACGAATTTCGAAATGTCATGCGTGATTTTTGCGAAACCATTATCAGTGATAGTACTGTATCAAGACTTTCTCTTCCTGAAGGTCTTACAGAAGAAGAACTTCAACTTGTACGTGAAGAAGCTGCTGCATTAGGATTGAATGTTATTACAAATATAAGATATGGCAAAGAAATCGTCTATCTTCAAAAGAGCAAAGTATAAAATTAACTTCTTGTTTATTAAATTGCAACTATAAAATTCTTAACAATCCTTAACAATACTTAAAATACTATTTTAATAATGTTAATATTATTATTTTAAGATTTTTTTGATGAATTTTAAGCTTATTTTTTTATTACTTGGTGGATATGACAATTTAATGTTACAATTTTTCAATGAATTGCCAGGAAAATTTATAAGATAATTCATATGAGATAAATCTTGGCTCACTAAAAGAAAGTCGATTCCTAGTATTTTTCTCATAAAAATCCAATTCTTAATAATGTTGCAATTTTGCACTGTTGTATACTCTTAATAATTTTAGTATGCAATCATATACATTCCCAAAGATTAAGTATTAATTTTCTATCTTTATAATTTTGATAATTTTAGATGTTTTTTTAATACATGCTCTGTATGCTGAAAAAAGTATAATAATAAGGTTCTCCTCCTCCAGTAAGAAATACAGATCAAAGATAGGTCTATTAAATGTCTATTATACATTTATAGTTGTCTAGTAGCCATCTTTCCTATCATTTCTCACTGGGTCACAGATAAATAGATTGTAAAATAAAGTCTTTATATTGATAATATTTGTTTATTACATATAATTATCTATGAATATTAACTTTATATTAAACATTACTTTTTCTAATGCAAAGAAAATTAAATAAAACGACGTTTTTTACATAAGCAGCATTAAGGATATTTCATTATGATGTATGTCAAAATGGGAGTTTTGCCATCAAAAAAAATCAAATGACAATTGCCTAACATTAAAATATAAGTTAAATGATAAGTGTCTAATACAACTCGAATATTTTTATACTTTGTTTCTCTTTTACTATTAATAAAATATTTTTGCACAAATATAATTGTATTTTGTATTTATATTTGGCTGATCCTGAAATGTAAGATAGTAAATGAAACTATATCAATTTCCATATGTGGCATATATTGTTTCGATACATTTAAGTATAGAGTAAACAAACGCCGGAAGTTCGTGGAGCATCCTCATTATGTATTTCTTGTTCGGCATAATAAGATGTAATGGATCAAACGATATAAGGTTTCCGCTGATGTAACATCAAGGTATATAAGAAAAATTTCGCAACGCAATAATGTCAAAAAATAGTACAATGTTTCTTATTGCAACGTTCTTCATATCTTTGCTCCTAAGTAATCTGATTTTTTTCCATATCTAGTTTCAATTTTCTAATCGAAAATATAATGATTTACTTACAAATTAAGGTGAGAGTGTCGTCCACATTTTCATTATTTTTCAATCATGTTTTTTAGATGTACCTATTAATTCAGTTGATTTACCAAATCATCGATCATCGATTCAAAACTTTCAAGACTTCCGTCCCGAGGAAGGTCTCCTGGAGATCTTCCTGAACCCGACACCGGTCATTTCGAATGATCACGCGGTGATTGGCAGCATTATTGATTCGGATTTGAAAGCGGAGAATATAAATTATGAGCTTTACACCAAAGATAATAAAGAGCAATCTGTTTCTCTACGAGTGGGTGATAGTGCACAACTGAAAGAATCGCCGTTTAACTCTACATGGCCAACCAAGATCATCATTCACGGATGGGCAGAGAGCGGAAATACTTTCTGGATAAATAACATTCGACAAAATTATCTTAGTATCGGAGATTACAATGTAATCTGCGTAAATTGGTTCGCTGGTTCAACCAAGGAATATCTAACGTCTGCCAAAATTACTCGTCTGGTGAGCGATATTTTCGCGTATCTTACAAAAAAAATTAACAGATCAGTTAATGAAAAGAATTTTTAAAATTATAGTATATTTAAAAAATTTTTTAAATTATAATATATTTTAACGATGCTGCATAATCGCAAAATTTGTATCAATCACGTATTGGAATAGAGACAATTTTTTTAATGTACAGATTATAAGTACTATTGATAGATTAATTCACAATTAATTCATAATTAATTTATAAATTTATATTAAAAATTTATATTAAAACAAAAATTGATACATGGCAAAATTCTGGAAATTCCTTAACTCTTATTCTAATATATCAACTTTTTACAAGAAATTGCACATATATATACACAAGATTTGTGTGTTTACAGGTAGGAGAATACATAGCTGCGTTTATAAAATTTCTCGGATCGGAGGTTCAAGTTTCCTACAGTGATATCCATGTACTGGGGCATAGTTTGGGTGCCCATGTAGCCGGGTACGTTGGTAATTATATGCGGGGAAGACTCGGTCGCATCACCGGACTTGATCCAGCTGGACCAGCCTTCGAGACACCTTATCTGAAAGACGCGGCTGAGCGGCTAGATTCCACAGACGCCGATTTCGTCGACATCATACACACCTGTGCCGGTAGTCTCGGCATCCTCAGACCCATCGGCCACGTGGATTTCTATCCGAACGGAGGAACATTTAGACAACCCGGATGTCCAGTACTTTCAGCCCGTACGTCGTACATAAGATATTCGTAGCCTATATTTAAGCTGTATAATATGTGACAGAACTGATCCAATTTCTATTTTTAGAAACCTGTAGTCACAGTAGATCGCATGAATTTTTTGCCGAGTCTATCGTGCATCCTGACGGCTTTCCCGCTCTACGGTGCGCCAATTGGATAGATTTCCAGCTTGGTAAATGCAGCAATAATTCTACTGTGATGGGAGAATTTGTCAATACTAAAGCTCGGGGTACTTTTTACCTGGAAACCAACGCAGAACCGCTGTTTGGAAAAGGCGAGATATAAAAGGAAGTCGGTGGACATTTAGATAACGTAACTTTGCATGTCCACTTATGACACGTATATATATTTTATTACAATTATAGCAATATCGCAGAGAAACGTACAAAAGAGTATAGAAAGTATTTTACTTATATATACATATATATGTATCTATTACACAAATATGATTACGATATCTAGTAGGTAGTAATAAAAAAAACGACGCCTATATATTGCACACATATATATGTTGCATAAATTTTATTTAGTTAAGCCATTCTAGCAAGCTTTGCCACCCCATCGGACGATTTCTCGATTTTGCCGCAAAATTGCATGCGATATTTTCGACGAATTGTATCCCAATCGACGACGTTGTCTATCCTCGAAATATTACTCAAGGAACTTTGACTGTTGGCCGGACTTAATTGAAGTAATGAAAAATTGACGTTGTCCTTTGTTCGTGGAATTATTCTGTTATTCTAAAAAGACGAAAGAGGAACAGATATAAAGACCTGAAATTATTTAATAAATTTTCGAAAATATCTGGAAATTAAAACTTTGGCATATGTAATGATATGTATCCTCATAAATACGATAACATTAGTCAATTATAACATATTTACAATATATAATTATTATATATATATATATATATATATAATAATTATATATATAATAATTTTATATATATATATATATATATATATATGTAATTCTGCATTATATATATATATATATATATATATATAATGCAGAATCACATGTTTACAATATATAATGAAGAAATTAAAATTTTCATATCCGTTTCTGCTTTATTACAGAAACGGATATGAAAATTTTAAACAGGCAAATATAATTATGAATCGAATCGATACGTCTGCAACAAGCATATCTGATATCTACGTACGCTGGAAAGTGGATATTTCGGAAAGTCTCTTTAACTGACAAAGTGGTATCGCTATAATTCGAACAAAATAAATTCTCATGTGTATAATCAATTGCAATAAATAATCATATTTATATTATTGAGAGAATATTTTAAATTTTATCAAAACTATCTTATATATTATTCAAGCTGTTTAATTGATTTAGAATCTCAATAAATTGTAGAGACATGCATTTAAAATGTTTCAAATTAATAATATTATCTCTTTACATATGCATATAGACATATTTAATATAGCAATTTACATGTTGAAATTGTTAATTAAGTTATGGTTTCTCACAATATATCGATCGCACTTGAACTGTCAATAAACATCATCTCTCGCACACTTCATTATGTTATTATAACAATTTATATATTGATGTAGACACATAGATACGTATACACTACTAAAAAATATATCAAGAAACACGGTAGTGTCTTGAAATCGAGTGATCACTCAGGCGCAAGACACACCGTGTATCTTTGCGCGAATGGCTAAGTTGCGAGTAATGCATATTATTGGTTCTCAATAACCGTTAAATCAATCAAATTATGTTATAAGGCTTGAAATAATTTTTCAATTTTACAACCATAAAATATCTAGTAAAATATTCATTTTTTTATTATCTTACCTTAATACTTTTATGTACAAAATAATGAGAGGCATCAATTGGTGTAAAGAAAACACACAGTTGTTTTTAAGAAAAAATATGTAATTGTTAATTGCAAATTACATATTTTTTCTTCGGAACAATTAAATGTTTTTTTTACACCAATTGATTCCTCCCATTATTTTGTACATAAAAAAATTATTATTTTGTACATAAAAGTATTAAGGTAAGATAATCGAAAAATAAATATTTTACAAGATATTTTATAGTTTATGTAAAGTTAAGATATTACTTTAAGCCTCATAATTCGAAAAGTACTCAATGAAAAAATACTTTATTATAGTGTTTTGTAAAGCTATGTACATAAGCTATAAGAATATGCAATAAAAAATAGGTGGTACCATTTAAGAAATTAAAGGTATCCTTGACCTGATTTTAACAATGCCATCCAAGATCAAACCAATGACATCACCTTATGCTCAAAACCATACAACTTTTGTCGAAAACAATTTTTTCTAAATGCTTAGTTTTTGAAAGAAAAGGGGTGTACGGGTGGTCCAGAACATCCTGTATATATATACATATATATGTATATATAATTCAATAGAAATATCAATATCAAATCAATATCAAAAAAACTCATACATACATATGTATGTATATCCTTGTTGCCACTCTCTCCTAAATCTGTTGGTAAGAGATTATTGTAAAATAGATAAAAAGCCCCGTTTTACAAATATTTTGCAGATATATATATCTTTGCAAAATATTTGTAAAACGGGTCTTTTATATATGGGGCGTTCCATGCCAAATCGGACACCATTTAGCTTTTGCATCGCCGATTTTTTTGAAAATTTTTTATCTTTTAGTATTGGTTGAAAGAGGCCTCCATGATTTTTTTCAATTTTTTTTGTCAAATCGTTTTTAAGATATCGATTTTTCAAAAATTACGTTACTTTTTCTTTAGACGTCCATAAGTTTGCGAAAAATGGGTCAAATGGGACGTTTTTTTTTTTTAAATTTTTCTTTTTAAACGCACTTTTGATAAAAAATATCGAAAAAATTTTTCAAACCGTATTTCTATAAGATTTTCAAGTTTTAAATATAAATTGTTGATTTACCAAAAACACGTACTGATCGATTTTCTTAAACATTTTTTGTAAAAAACTGTCATTCATTCCACAACTTTTAAACCTAAGTAGATAATGGGATAACGATGGGATCTATTTTTTTTCGATTTTTTATTTCCATATTTTAATTATCCGTGTTGAAAATAAATATTAATCTTTTTTTCAGGCTTACCGGCAACGGTCATTCTTATTTATTAAATAAAATAGATATATCTTAATCATTTAATGAACGATAACCGATAATTTTTATTTGAATAAACCACAATATATACAAATTTCAACTCTTCAACAATTATATGACTGGGCAATAAAACCAAATTCTTTGCCAAATATTTATGCTCAATTCTTCTCTAACGAAGATTACATTCGAGCCAAAGAATCATTAGAGAAACGATATATGAGAGCAAAGATAATAACAGGGACGCAAAAATATCATTGTGTAATTCCAGACGGAGAAGATACTTTGAGATTGAAAGAATTTTCGTTATCTGTTGAATCTCGAATTTATAAAATATTTAAACGTGTGAGAAAATAAATGCTACTGAATAAAAAAAACTTTAGCATAATAAGTACTTTATTTCGCCTGTATCTTTTTCCTGAAATCAATCTGTCTAATTAATAATCACTATGTGTCAGATAATTATTAATAGTAGCTCCTGTGTATAGTATTTTTTTTCAGATATTTTTCAACAAGGATAACTTAAATATGGAAATAGAAAAATCGAAAAAAAATAGATCCCATCGTTTCCCATTATCTACTTAGGCTT